TTTGCTGTCTTATCGCCACGGAGGACTACTATTTGGAGCACCATACCCTCCTGAACCACCTCATTTTTGTCAATTAGAGCTGACTTCTCTCCCAAACCCTCAATGTTTCATAGGAGACTAGGTTTTAACTGGGGTGCCTCATGACTTGATCTCCTCCTTTTGGAAGACTGGGAATTAGTCTGAGCAGGAAAGGTAGTGCAGAGAGGTCAGGAGAGGCAGGGCCAGAGGAAGGCGGTGAGAAGAAGCCACAGCTACATGAGAGCTGTCTACAACGGTGATGAAGGATTCCTTTTCTGGACCTCCAATCCCAGGACAGACTCACTTCATCTACCAGATCCATCACTGGGTTGGGCCAGGCCTAGCAACAGAACAGGGATTATGAGTGTTTGTTGGTCAGGACAGGTTTTAAGAAGGATACCTCTACACCCATCCCAAGCCGCCCAGGGGTGTTATTTGAAGCAAGGATCTCTCCTTGGGCTCTCCTGCCTTGGCCTACAGAGAGACCACAAGCAAGGGCTTCTCCAGGGTGCCAGGAGCCAGCATCCCGCCCTGCTGCACCAGTGGCAAGTGTCCTGCAGCTGAGATAAAGGGTTCAGGACACGTGCTGTGACTCACCGTGTGGGAACAGGGCGAATGCACTGGAAGGCAGTGGGTGATGAGTCTGATCTTGGATTCTTGTCGCCTTCACAGCTGCCCCCTCTAGTGAGTGTGTGTTGGACTTGAAGGACTTCACAAGCCACTGATTTGCTCATCACTAGGCGGCCTAGTTTGCACAGATAGAACATGTTGGTCTTTCTCCATGTTCTTCTGGGGCTTTATTCTTTATAAACTTTTTGTATTGAGAAAAAAATAGCCAGAGCATCTCTGACAAAGGTTCTGCACCAGGCAAAGGACCAGAAACAGAGGCTCGGGGTGTGTCCTGAAGCAGGTGTCTGAGCCATCTTTTCTTTTGTGGCTCCTTCCCCTATTTCCTGTTTTGGACCAGATGTTCTATCCTAAAAACTTGACTCCTACCCTATTCCCGCCCTCTATCCTCCATCGCCCCCCACCCCAAAAAAAGCCCATACACACACTTATTTAATTTGTGGGATGTCCCCACAACTCCTAAATGATGTGTGCAAAAATTCTGAAGACGCCAGAAACACTCCATCCTTTGTTCCCAACCTCCTGAGTCAAGAGCATGCCTTGACGTGATTCATATCAAACACACTGCTGTATTTGGATGATCAAACCTACTTTAATCTCTAATCCTAGGGTTGAGAGAAGAAATGGGGGGCCTCCCATGTACAAAATGGGGTCAGGAGGCCAAGAAAGGGAAAATGACTGTATCCCCAAGTCACTCAGAAACTTTTATGCAGGTGTAAGAAACTTATGTCAAAGCAGCCACAAGATTGTTTACTAGGAGATAGATGAACATAACTTCATGTTTACTGCTAGAAATTGAAGCTGTGTGTGAAATCCTGAATCCCCTCTTTCCCTGGGAAAATGCAATGAGTAAATACTTACTGGTATGGGGGGGAGAACTACATTTTCTTTTTTGGGAGGGGAGGGTGATGATTAGCCCTGAGCTAACATCTGCCACCAATCTTCTTTTTGCTGAGGAAGATTGGCCCTGAGCTAACATCCGTGCCCATCTTCCTCTATTTTATGTGGGACGCCTGGCTTGATAAGCATGTGTAGGTCAGCACCCGGGATCTGAAGCAGCGAACCCCAGGCTACCAAAGCGAAACCATGCAAATTTAACCACTGCGCCAGCGGGATGGCCCAAGAACTACATTTCCTAACTTACCACTGTTGGTGTAATGAACTGATTTTATATTTTCATCTTAAGCTAGCTATCTGGGTAAACTCTCCAATTTATCTTCTGGGTTTCCTGTGTAAGAAAATTATATCATGGGGCCGGCTGGGTGGCACAGCGGTTAGTGTGCACGTTCCACTTTGGCAGCCTGGGGTTTGCCGGTTCGGATCTCGGGTGCAGACGTGGCACCGCTCATCAAGCCATGCTGTGGCAAGTGTCCCACATATAAAATAGAGGAAGATGGGCACGGATGTTAGCTCAGGGCTGATCGTCCTCAAGAAAATAAATAAAAATTTAAAAAATTATATCATGAGCAAGTAACAGTTTTATTTCTTCCTTTTCCCTCCTCATTCTTTAAATTTCCCCACCTTGTCTTCTGTGCTAGCTAGGACATCCCAAGCCACAGTGGAGAGAAATGGTAATGGTGAGGCTGAAGATGACGTGGACCCAACAGGAGTCCTGATGCCAGGCAGTGGGGAGGATAAACCTGTGTGACCACCTTGGAACACACCCCTATGCACACTACAGCAGCTGGCGTCATTCTGCCAGAGGAGCATTTGCACACTCCACAAAACTCAATTCCACTCTAGGTTGTGTACCAGAAGACATGGACTAGGGTATCATCGAGGCACTGTCCCTCACAGCAGAAAACCAGAAGCAAGCCACAGCTCCCTACAACAGACAGAACTGTTTAGAAGACAGCGATGAAAATCACTGAACTACACTGTGCCAACACAGAGGAATCTCAGGAACACGCTGGGTCAAAAAAGGAAAGTTGTAGAATACATCCAGTAAGATTGTATGACATATATTCCAAAGTTTTCAGTACTAAAAAGACGCATGGTGTGAGGGCTGGCCCTATGGCCTAGTGGTTAAGGTTGGCACGCACAGCTTCAGCGGCCTGGGTTCAGTTCCGGGAGTAGACCTACACCATTTGTCAACGGCCATGCTGTGGCAGCATCCCACACACAAAATAGAGGGAGACTGGCACAGATGTTAGCTCAGCAAATAAAGAAAGAAAGAACAAACTAGGCAAGGGCATGGGGGAGACAGACTTCAGCGTGTGCTTCTCCCCTGGAGGAAACATTGGGCCAGGTGTAGGGGTGCTGAGGGTGTCCTGCTGCCTCTCTCAGGTGGGCGGGGGTCATGCAGGTTGACCTTAGCGTTCTTTTTTTTTTTTTTTTTTTTTGAGAAAGATTAGCCCTGAGCTAATGTCTGCTGCCAATCCTTCTCTTTTTGCTGAGGAATACTAGCCCTGAGCTAACATCCGTGCCCATCTTCCTCTGCTTTATATGTGGGACACCTGCCACAGAATGGCTTGATGAGCGGTGCCATGTCCGCACCCAGGATCTAAACCGGCGAACCCCGGGCCGCCGAAGCAGAACATGCGCACTTAACCGCTGGCCACTGGGTCGGCCCCGACCTTAGCACTCTTGATACCAAAGTGTTATGTATATTTTTTGGTACTGTAAAACATCTCAGACCATGACTGCCTAAAACAAAATGTGGGAAGCAACCAGGCGTGTAAGAGGACAGAAGTGAACTCAGGTAAAACTGCCCGTTTTCGCCTACCCTCAGGGCAGAGCCCCTCCCTCAGTTTTGGCCTAGATTGTATACACAGGGCACACTCTCCCCTCTCATACCCAACATGCACCATGAGCCTCGACCAGAAGCAGCTGTAAACAAAACAGACTGAAGGGGGAGTACTGTGGAGCTACTTTTGGGGCATCAGGAGTGGAAAGAGGAGTCGGTCCCCCGGCTCTGCCTGGTAGTCCACTCCGTTTTGATAAAAATTTGGTGTCTACCCAAGTCCTTCACCAACATAAGTAATTTAAATTTAAATTTAAATTCTGCTATTTCAGGTTTTTTATCTATCGTCCCAACCAGATCTGTGGAAGGTGGAAGCATCTGGGGCACATTCCTGACCAGTGACCGCCACAGAGGGCAGCTGCACTCCCTCTACAACACTACAACATTCAAATTCAAATCTGTGTTTTTTGCAAAGTTCCACAGCATCTGTGCCTCAGTCTCCTCATTCGTGACATGAGGCTGACCGGCACCTACTGCACAGGACTACTGTGGCAGCAAACATGCCAATGAATGTAAAAAACACTTTTAACAATACCTGACACTAACATGCGTTTTTTTTAATGCCAACTCCTCCCCTAGGCAGACTGGCTGACCGAGCACAGCAGGTTTCTTTAGCTGGGCACAACACCACCATCATCCAGGCAGCATCTTGGACGACCCTGTACTACAACCTAGAGAGTGCAAGGCAGCCTCTTGGCTTTGAACTTTCTCCTACGATGCCAGCAGTATCACCAGTTGCAGGTAAGCCCAGAACGTGGCATAAAAAGATGAGCCACAATTAAAGATACTTGTGCCCCTTTATAGTGACAAGTGGTCTGCACGCACCCACACGAGACATGATGCAGAAGGCTGGTCAACAGCAAAGCCAAAAGGTTTCTGGACAGAGGGGATTCCTACATCCTCTCTGCTGGTCCAAGCTTAATCTCCATTAGAATGAGTTCACAGAACGCTACCAGAATTATATACTCTGCTTTCCTGGACATAACCTGTTTGCTAAAATAGAGATCTTTACATCTTGATGGTACCCACCAAGTGCGGATCTAAAATAGGAGGAAAATCTGATCTATGTGTGGGGAACGACCAGACAGGAGACGGTCCATTTCTGGAATCCTGGTGAGTTTCTGGGATCCCAGAGAAGAGGCACAGGAAGACCAAGAGAGCAAGTGATCCTTCACATCCTAAAGCAGGGGTTCAAAATGGGAAGCAACGTCACACCCTGGGATATTTAGCAACATCTGGAGACATTTTGGATTGTCCCAACTAGGGCAGAGGGCTGCTACTGGCACCTAGAATGCTGCTCACCATCCTACGTGCAGAGGACAGTCCCCACAACAAACGGCAATGGTGCTGAGGTTGAGAAATCTTGTTCTAAACCAAGTAACTCTTCACTTCAGAATCTCAGTCTGCTGAACCAGTTCCTATCCCAGGGCCTCAGTGGGCCATTTTCCTTGCCTCCGCCCTTGGGCACCCCCAGCTTGCGAGTTCTCACAGAGATGCTGCTCCTTAAAACTCAACAAGGCTTTTAAGCTGGGAGATTTCATTCAACCCCCAGCACCAGGCTGTTCCCCAACATGAAGGCCACAACCTGAGTCACTTGGTTCTACTCGTCACCACCTTCAAAGCTGTGCAAATGTCCTGAATGCCTGAGAAGCCTGCCCTCTGCTGTGGGCCACCAGAGGGCAAGCTCACTGGCTGGGTCCTCTGCTGACCTCTCCCTGGGACCACAGGGGCCAGGGAGTTTTCATCCCCATGTGCCAGTCAAGAGCCCACAGCTTTCTCTGGTCCCATGAAACCTGCGACAGGATGCACCAGACACCTCCTTTGCAATGGGCCCCACAGAACTGTTTGCATCGCCCTGAGGTGTATCTGCTGCTAAAGGGACACTGTGCCATGTAAACTGAGAAACGCTGATTTCTAGTTGCAGCACACATTCAACTGCTTTTGTAGAGGAAAGACGTCAAAGTCAAATCACCAGTTCTCCCTTTCCGCCTGACAAAAGGGCTCATACAGACTCTGAAGACAAGCTTTCCCTCAGCAAAGTGCTAAGAGCACCCCCTCCAACTATGAAAGCACCACTGCGGCTTCTGACTTGAAGGGTTTCCAAAGAGGAAGCAGCACAGTCATTCTTCAGACACAGAGCCCTGCTTCCGAAGAGAGCTCAAAACATTCAGGGCAGAGCCTGGAGCTTCCTGAGCTCCCTGCAGAGCAGCCGGATGCGCCCTTCATCATGCTGCAGTGTCTTCAGGACTCTAAGACCCCAAAAACATCCCCTCCTGCTCCATTGGCCAAACTATTTTGAAGTCCACAGAATTCCAAAAGTTAGACTGTGATCAGTATGAGCACGTCCAACATCACATCCCCTTAGGCCCGGGGGTTTCACAGAAACTAAGCTGGAAGGGGTTGCAGAGGTCACTGAGTTCAAACCCCTTGTTTCACTTAGCCGAGTTTGAAGGGGCCTCCCCAAAGCTGTAAGCAAAGTGTGTGACTGAGGTGGCAGGCACGACAATCAGCAATGTGCTGGAAAAATCAAAATTCATACAAACTCTGAGTTCAGAGACACTACTAGGTAACGTGAAGCTAAGGAAGGTAGCGCTTACGCAAAAAGCATAAAATCACGTTTCTTTTTGTTGAATGAGGCTCTGTAGGCCTTTCAGCATGTGAAGGCAGACTCATAACTGCACCAGGGTGTGGATGTTTCCCTCTCTTTCCCAAAATAAACCAGAGGCTTTGCCTCCCGACACATTCTCCCTCATCAAACACAACCCTGGTTTTCTCTCTTAACAGGTAAATGGCATACCTCCTCCCTGCATCATTTTGTAGATTTTGCTCTCTATGTGGAGCTGAGGGTGTTTGGTTTTGACACATTCAAGCTTGATGGCAACTTCTTCTCCTGCAGCAATGTCCGTACCTTGGCAAAGAAACAAAATCAAACATTAATTATCTGGTGTCTACCACCCAGCCCAATGCTACAACACGCTGGAGAAACAATAAGCACCATTTGAGTCTTCCACCAAGGACCAAATAACAGATGCTCTCTATTTCCCAGCACAAGATGGTGTCAGTGGTCGAAAAACCCCTGTGGAAAATTACCCTTATTTTCACTTTTTAAAACAGAAGTATTTGATATGTACAGGAAGTCATATTTGGCATTCCACCACCCACTTCCATGTCCCCCCTCAGATAATGTCACTAGGTGACCGGACCCAGAGACAGGCCAATAATGCAGTTCTCTCCTTAGGACTCTCATCTTTTCTGGTCTGAACCTTCCTACCCAGCCTGTTGGTCACCCCTGCATTTACCCAGCCAAGGCCAGACTTGGAGTCCCAGGGTAACTCTGCGTGTTCCTGCACCACAGTCTGTGTGCATCCGTTTCTCCACGCTGCCAATAGGCCCATTTGGGTGTGTGTCAGCCTTTCTCTAGACGGAGGGCTGAGTTTTTATCAAACACTCACACAGCCTCAGCTCACCTAGACTGGGTATTGAGCCACACACATCTCAACAGTCAGAGCACTTCTCAAGTGGGCTTGGTTCCCACAAGGTGGCATAAGTCATTACTAACCCATCACAGGCCAGGCCAAGGGATGCCCAGGGAGGCTCAGCAAACCCCTCTCTTCCTGGGGACAGGACATCACTGTGCGTTTCTTCCTGATGCTAGACCAGGAGGGTGAACTCTGTCTTCAAAGCCCTAACTATATGTATACAACATAGCCCTGTCACACAGCTTTTTTCAGTTTCCTGCTAAAATACCTCCCAATTACCAGCCCATGAGTTTAAAGGCAAAATTAAAATTTTTATCTAAAAATCATTGTATTTCTGCTTTACTCTAGTAAGAAACTGCAAACGTGACAACCACCACCCCTCCAGGCTGCACACAAATGCCACAAATGCTCTGTCTGACCCAAAGCTGTGTCTACAAGACCTTCCTCAAGGAGCTTTAACTGGAGAGAATGGGAAAGAAGTCTCACGCAGAACATACCCAACTCTCCTCTTGCTCTCCTCAGAGGTTCCTTCTAAGTATAAAACACTTCAATCCCTCCCAGCAGTATAGTTATTTGTGAATGAATTAACACTGGTTCCAGCAGCCCAGAAAGAACCCAGGACATGTCCTTCCCAGGGAGACTGTAGTGCTGTGCAAAGCAACCTGGCCAGTCGTTGGCGACTCAGTTTCTCTCGCCATCTGAGTTTAGCAGGCTGTTTCACAAGGGAGTTGTGGAGATGCGTGGGTAAATGGTTACAAATCACTTTGAGATTCCCAGACAAAACACAGAGTAAAACCGGCAAGCATTACAATGATACACCTTCAGGAGGGCTGCCTGCTGGAAGTCATGTGTCCAGTAAATGCCCAAGAACCAGAGCAACAGTCTCCTCTTGTCTGCTCAGATGGCTGCATGAGTGTGGCCATTTCCAGAGAGCCTGGATCCAAAACCGGTTGCCGATACCAGGGTTCCATGGGAATAACCACCATTTGATCACTGCCAGTGACCATTCTAGATTTAAGAACTTCATTTATCATTCCACAAAGACTCTTTTGGGCACTCAGAAGAAAGACAGGCAATACATTTTGTTCCTCCTGCCTGCAGTTGGGACAATCTATCCAATTACAAGAGAAATGACTTCATCGTTAAATGTACTGTGCAAACGAAAAATGAACTCAGAGTTCCTGTGAGGACCTGGAACTCTGAACTGAACTCGCCAGCCCAGGAAGAAGGGATGACTCATCTTACTAATCACATCAGCAATTCCCTGCTCCCCAGAGCAAGAGCCTAGCCTCTGGGGGGAGCACTCTTGCCCCTCCAATTATGTCAGCAGTGCCGCCTTGTCAGGAGGCAAGGCCTCAATGACAAGACAGCCTGGGCCCATGCAGGCTATCTACCAGACTAGCACCTTCCAGAAGGAAGAGAACATTTCTAGCTCCACTCTACCATGGCTGATAAAGCTAACGTCTGACAGTCATCCTGGCAATACTAACAGCCTTGGCGACAAACGATCACAGGCATCTGTGGAACACAATATGAATTCCATCCTCCTATCAATGGTCCAGTCCTCCCACAGGATCACACGAGCAACAGAGCCAGGCCTCTGCAGGATCACAGAAGATGCGAAGGTTGCCCCAAGTCTGATGACTCAAAGAGGAGAGGCTGGATGTGGCCTCTAGCACACACTCGTCTGGGAGGTCTTAGCCCACGGGAGAAGTACCAAGCAGCAGAGCTTCAAGTTCTGTGCATTCCATGGGAACCAAACTTCACAGGCTACTGAGTAAAACTGAGGTCCACCAGCGTGCAGCCCTCCAGCCCTGCCCCTGCTCCAGGCTGACCATGGCCCCTGTGCTCCACTGGTGGTGTTGCTCCAAGTCTAGTCCTCAAACTGCCACCAGTCCACAGAGGGACAAATACAGGATAGTGAGGAAGCACCACAGAGCTCCAACAGCAACATGACATGCTGCAGCATTTTAATTTTATTTTACAGAAGTATTCGTCTCCAACAGATTAGAAATTACAAAACCTGGTCCTTCACCACAGGTAACTTTTAGAAGTATGTACTTCTAGATGAGGAACAAGAATTTAGAAGATACCACTGAGCTCTGGGTTCCAGGTTCAGGACAAGTCAAAACCAAGTAGCGTGTACATATTCACTTACACTGTCTGCATCTCCTGAGGGGTTTTGATCTCCCAACAACCCCAACTCTTCTGTGCAGCTTAACAGCCCCAACCAGACAAGAGTCCCCGCACAAGACAAAATGTTCATCTATGTTTAGACACAGATCCATGCTGGTCCTAGGAAAAGAAAACTATGTCCCTCAAGTTGAGCAGACAAAGGCAGATGGTCAATTAAGAGCACCTAATCCCAAGTTTGTCCCTGATCTGGGCCAGGAAGGTAACTCCCACTGAGGACTGTCTCATCGATGAAGAAACAGGGAGAGGCCTCAGAAGAGCAGGGCAAAGGTCCTCCTCACAGGGCAGCTGTTGACAAGGCAGCTGATGCAGGACCATGACTTCTCATTAAAAATGTTCAGGCCACCACCCGAAGAATGCAGGCAGATGACAATGAAAACTGCAGCGAGGACACGCGCCTGCTCTCCTCTCCTGGCCAGCCAGCCAGCCACCATTTTGGAACTCCTACGGCGTGCCAGGTGTCTTGCTAGATATCGCTGAAGAGAAACGAAAGTCAGCAAGGGGAAAACACGAAAATCAAACGTGACGAGATTAGTAAGCTTTAGCTCCCAAAAGGTCTTTGTGTACATCATGAAGTCAGACCACACAGTCCGTCCAGGTAACAGGTGGATGGACCAAGCCATGCTCTGATAAAGTGATGGAGCAACAGGATCAAGTACAAATGCTACCAGCTGGCAGGAAGAAAACCCCTTTTCTGCCAATCACGAATAGGGTGGGGTCCGAGGACCCTGCTGACTGCCTCTAGAAGACATGCATGAGAACAGAGCTCCATGGGAACAGGGGGCTCATGCTGCCCCTCTGGCACTTGGCGCCTCACAGGCACTCCACGAACACCAGCTGAACCAAACAGCAACTGTGCCGGCTGGCACCACCACACAGCCTGGGCCCCGGCACACTGCCCGCACACACTCTTCTCCCCTCAGCTCCAGTGGGCACACTAGAGTTTGAAACACATGGTCCACATTAAGATCACTGGTTTTCCCTTTGTTTTCAAATGTATAAGAGGTACACTGCCAGCAAAGTGAAAGAACTTCTGGTTCCCACTGCCTCAAACACACCAGCTCCAGCAGCAAGGGGGAACAAGCACGTGGAAGCTAAAGCTGAGGAAGGCACAGGGCTGAGCAGGCTTCGCCTTATGCCGCCTGCAATTCCAAGTGCAGTGACATCCGAAGTGTGTGCTGCACAAGGTATGGGAGCTCTGAGGCCTTCCCGGCCTGCCTTTCCCAAGAGCCTTCCGGATCTGGCAAGCTTAGAGGAAGGTAGACCAAGGAGAGAGACTGCACGTTTTGGGGGTCTGTGGTAGCTCAAGTCTAGTACATATACTTCCTGAAGCCCAGATATTAGAGAAATAGCCCAAGATATCGCCCTGCTTTGAAGGGGCAATTTGGGGAAGGACTGGAATAACCTAGCAGGGCACAGTGCCGCATGACCATGTCAGCACAGCAGGCCACTGGGAAGGCAGACCAATACTGGGCCTTCTTGGTCGATGAGGCTCTTGGCAAGCTGAAGGACAGCCCTCCCTACTCCCAGTTTCAAACGTCTTGAGAGCACAGAAAGTTCCAGGCAGAAATCCAAGACCCCAAACACCAGGCTCAAAACAAGGTGAACCTACCTGGAGGAGTCAAGGCCTTCTGATCAACAGCAAAAGGGTGGCAGCAATGATTTTAATTGTAATCACACTAGAACACGTAGGACACACCAATTTTCAAGATCACAACTCAATTCTTTAACTAATGCCTGACTAGTTGCCTAAACAAATAGAAAAAGCTATGCTACAGATGATTCGATCCATCCCATGGTCTTTGGACCAGCCTCTTTGACCCTTAACAACAGTATATGGTGAGCTTCCTCAGATCCACCTTTCTAGCCAAACCTTACTCCAGCTAACAAGATCACTTCACATTTTCTCGGTGAGGTCGTGCGCAGCCTGAAAGGACGGCCCTGTGGGCCAAGAGCCAATACTGACTGAGGAAGATGGGATGTGCCCAACCCCACACAAGAGACTCTTAAGTGCACGCCGATGGGTGGGCTGTGTGTGTGCCCGGAGCCACAGTCCACCCACCTCAGAACACAGCCGAAGGAGACTGAGGACAGACCCTTCTGGGACCAGTCAGCCTGTCTGCATCGAGCGCTACCGGTGTGCCCAGCACCAGGGGAGGCAGGAAGGACGCAGCGGTGAATAAGCAGAGAGGGTCCCCCACAAAGCTCCCACTCCCGAGAAGGGCTCACACCTCTGTGAATACTCGGTGACAACCGCTCCACGATGCGGCTGTCCGAAGCACAGAGCTGTCTGGCAAGGTCTCAGACCAAAGGACGAGAAGTTTCATAATGTCTACTTTCCGATCCCTGCGTAAGAGTGGCTAATGGACTGGCCTTTCAGTACAGTTCCTAAGTCCTAGATTAAAACTTCTGCCAAAATCTATTCTTCTATAAATAAGGCAAACAGCTTGCATTTACCCAGCACTTTGCCTCCCAAAACGCTGCTGAGAAAGCAGCCGGCTGACTACTGGATATAAATATTTAAATAGTAAATTCCAAATGTCTCCGAAGTGTTTCTTACTCAACAAGACAGTGAGGCAGAAGAATAGGTTCAACGGCTCCCCGATGGCAGTGACCGGGCTACCCAGTGGGGTCACCAGGCGCCGGAAGCAGTTAGGAACGACCCGAACACGGCGACTCCTCTCAGCGCTGCCACCCCCAGCCCTGCGTCTCCTCCAGATGACAAGAGGGACGGCTGCGGCGGCGAGCGCACACCCTTGGGTCGTCCGAAAGGCGCAGCCCGAGGCACTGCCCACACCGGAAGCTCTTCCCGAGCCCCTGACAGGTGCGCCGCCCAAACAAAACGCCAGAGAGGGGCTGTGAGCCACACGACACGCGGACCCCCGAACGCGCCGACGCCAGTCCTCCTGCACACCCACCGCGCGCCAGGCGGCACCTCCCCAAACCCAGGCGGTGGGCAACGACTTACACACTGCAGAAAAGTTATTTTGAAATTCCCAACTTTCAGATTCAGGCCCACCTTTCCTCACACACGTGTGTGCGCGTATTCTCTCACTGCACACCCGAAACAATCCAGAACCTTCAAGTCCCACGCGTGTTTTTAGGCTCTACCTTGCGAATTTCCAAAGCCGCGGGGCAGGCGCGCGGGCAGGGCTTCCTGCTCCCCGCCCCTCGTCCTGCCGGCACCCTCACCCCGACCTCGGCCCGTCGCCTGACTCACGCCCGGCCGGGCGCAGGGGCCCGGGACCGAGCTCGGACGCGCGACACGTCCCCAGCCGCCACGCAGCGCCGCCCCGCCGTCGGGGGCCCACGGGCCGGCCGGCCCGAGCGCACGGCCGCACAGGCCCGGGGGACGCGGGAGCCTCGCGCCGGCCTGGGCTCCCGCGCCCGCCCGCACGTGCCAGGACGCGGGGCCGCACGACGCCCGACGGCCTGCGCCCGCCCGCGGGGACACCGCCACCCGGGCGCGGCGCGCTGGGGCAGGTGCCGCGGGGCCGGCTCCCACCGCGGCCGCGGCGCCCGGCCCGGCCCGGGGGAGGCGCCTCACCGAGATAGATGTCTCCGAAGGAGCCGCTGCCGATCTTGCGGCCCAGCCGGTACCTGTTCCCGACCCTGAGCTCCATGGCGGCGGCGGCGGCGGCGGGCCCGGCTCGCTCCTGCCCTCCCGGCCGCTTCCTGGGTCTGAGCTCGGGGAGGCGGCGCCGCCGCTGCCGCTACTGCGGGTCCGGCTGCCGGCTCCGCCCCCCTCACGGCCCCGCTTTCACCATGGCTTTCTGGCCGCCCCGCCGCTCCCAGCGCCTCAATACGGGGCGGAGGGGACAGTGCGAGCGCCGCCGCCCCTGCTCCGGGCCCCACCGGCCCCGCTAGCCCTCTCCCCGCCGCGGATGGACTCGGATCTCCCGGGCCTGAATCCCCCTTCAGCTGCCTAAAGGAGCCGCCGCCATCGCGCTGTGACGTCACTTCCCCTAGCAACCCGGTGGGGCCGGGCCGCGCTGCCCGAGGGGCGGGGCCGCGCAGCCCGAGGGGCGGGGCCTCGCAGCCCGAGGGGCGGGGCCGGGGGCGAGCGCACCCCGGCGAGACCCTTTGTCGCTTTGCCCTTCTGTCCGCGAGCGGCCGGGGGCGGGAGCCCAGCGTCAGACCCTGTCCCACATGCAGGCTCCACGTGCTCGCGTAGGGAGCTCGCTTGCCCACACAGGAGGAAGCCAGTGGCTCTTCGCGACAGGCCTGGGACAGGCCTCCAGGCAGTGCCCTTAGCAGGAGGGCACGAGAGGGGCCGAGCCCGTCGCTCCAGGACCCTGGCACCCGCAGCCTCGGGACTCTCCAGGAGGAGGCCGCCCTTCCTGGTCCGGCGGCTGGAGGGACACAGGCCGGGCCACAAGGGACCCCGGGGTGCACGGGCGTCTTGGGGTGGCCGGGGGCTGGCTGGGGACGTCTACTGTGCGGTTCCTCTCCCGTCCTACTGTGCCAAGTCCCTGGCTTGCAGCTCAGCCTGCTGTCACACCTGAAAGGTGAAGGGGAAGCTACCAGGGTTTCAAAGGGTAAGCCCGGACTGCCTGCCTCTCCAGTCCCATGGGCCTGGAGAGTGAGACAACGTTTTTCTCTACTTTGTGTTGAGTCTGAATGTTCTTCCTTGCAAAAGAAAGCAAGAATGTTCAAGTTCAGGCTGGTGACCAGGTTCATAGATCTGAACTCTTGATTCCAATCACTGGGAAGGGAGTCCCCCAGAGAGGCATGGAAACCAGGAAGGAATGACTTTCCTGTGGGTGCTTCTCTAGGCCTATCCCCCACCCCAGCTAAAAAGAAAGAACCATAAAACCAGCTGTTAATACAGCAGAGTGAGTGCCCTCCTGTGGTGCACGGCACAGTGGTCTCGCCACTCCCAAATCCTCCCTCTCCACCACTCAGCCTCAGTGGTGCAGCCCCTGCCGGAAAATAGTTGGAGGTTAAGTTGGGGAGACCGGCACAGCGTCAGTTCCTGAGCATTACAAACAGTGCCTGGAGACGGAGAGAGAAGGCACAAAGCAAGCCAGGATCAGTCGCTAATGAATGGTGGGCAATTGGGATCACCCCACGTCCATGCACAGTAGGCAGCCCAGTCTCTGTCTTATGAGGGCTGGGGGGATTTTGCCAAACTAGTAAATATAGCCTTGTTGGCAGCATTCGCTGATAAACAGTGCCCAGTTCCCCTGCCAGAGAAAGCCATGAGTGTAAACGGGAAACAGAAAGGGGCCTGGCACCCCCTTCCTGGAAATACTGGATCGGCCACTCCCTCAGCTGCCCTGGGCTGATTGCTCGCCAGTGGTCCTCCTCCTGAGCCTTGGTGTCCTCTCTCAAAAAGAAGCTACAGCTCTTTGAGCTGCCCCCTGGGCCCTCCGGTTCTGCCTCCTTCACCTGTTTGTTCTCAGAGTTGGTCAGGACAACCGGCAGACAGTAGGACCAAAGTCCTTGCTTGTGTTTCAGTCCACGGCTGTGACAGGGAGTGGTCAGAAAAGGCCTGGGCAGGGACAGAGCCACTGTCTTTGAGAGGCCTCACCAGGGGCCTGTGCCAGGGTTCCAGGCCCCCATATCCCAGCACTGTGCTGCAGGTGGTCTGCCCCTGCGACTACAGTGTCCCTGTGTGTGCCTCAGTTTCCCATGTGTGAAGTACCCTTGCAGGGCCAGGGCTTGCAGAGGCTGCGCTCGGACAGCTGCTTCCCCACTTCCAGCCTCCACACTCTTGGGGTCAGAATCCTCTCTGTGCTGACGGCAGCGGCCAGCCACTCTCTTATCCTGCTCTGCCATTCACTTTGTGACCATGAGAAGGGCCAGAATCACTGCCCAGAGCCTCCCTCAGAGTGTGGCCTGTGGACCAGGAGTAGCAAGGGAGAAAGCCTGCTGGTACAGGAGGCTCTCACACACGCCCGTGTTGTTATTGGGAATGGCCTTGGACGTAGCAGGCACTCAGTAAACTCTGGCTTCATGAATGACTCATGTAGATGAACTCCTAGCTCCTAGGCCAGGCCATCCCCAAACAGAACTGCAAGGCCCAGACCCTGCCTTCGCTGCTGGGGCCACCTCCCTCGGCTGGGCCCCCAGCTGCGTTTCACTACCCACTCCCAGCCTCATGCTGCTGGCAAGGGTGCTGGCCTGTGACATCTTGTCCCTCAAAATTTGTACAAGCCAGGACTCCCCAGGTGTTTTCCCGACTGGGCAGGTGTCCCTCTGCCCCTGCCTGGGCTCTTTTTATTTCAATCCAAAACTGCAGTAGGGGGAAAGTCTCACCCAAAAGGCTAGGGGGTTGGAGGCTGGAGGCCTTTCGGGCCCACCCTTCGCCCTGCCCCGGGACTCTTGGCACAGACCCATATGTGTCCCTGCTGCGCTTCTGCTAGGATCCCGCATGTCTGCAGACCATTCCCACTCCAGGCGGCACCTGGTGTTAATGCACTTCCAAATACTTTGTCCCCTTCATTGTGACCCAAACTCCCTGTGACCACCTGGACAGACGAAGAGGCATGTGAGGGGAGCAGACTCCCGGACTGTCCTCCGTCCTCCGTCCTCTGTAAAAGCAGAGCCGAGGGAAATGGGCTGAGAACGGCCTGTCCTGGGCATGCATGATTTCCCCGTGCTTGCCACCGTGTGTGTCTGTGCACATGTGTGGGCAGCTTCGTGGAGATATAGTTCACATACCACACAATTCACCCATTTAAACTGTACAACTCAATGGTTTTTAGTATATTCACGAAAGTGCACAATCATCGCCACAGTTTTACATTTTCATCACCCCCTCAAAAGAAGCCCCTGCCCTATAGCTATGTCCCCCACGCCCAGTGAATGAATGGAGGGCTATGCTCTCATTGCTCGTGTGCTGTGCCGCTCTCCGAGGTCTGGCCAGGGCTGGCCTCAGCTGCGGAGGTTTGTGTTTTCCTGCCCCCTGAGAGGCACATCTTCCTTCTCCCATCCTGGCCTCATGCCAAGGGTTCCCATCAGACCCCCTAGGGACGGGAGGCAGGTGCACACTCCAGTCTCCAGAAGCGAGAGGCGCATGCATATGTGTGTCCTTGGAAAGACGCCTGACCTGGGATTGGACACAGGACGGGAGACACTGTGGGGTCCTCGGTGCTGTCTCTCATGATGGCCCTGCACCTCCCGGCTGCTTGGCTCAGCTGTCCTTCCTCCTCTGGCTGGCATGCTCTGGCTTCTAGTAGTTTCTGTCCCTTGAGCTCCCCACTGTCACTCCGTTCAGCTTTGTGAGAGAAGGTAACTGGCTGGTCCTGGTTGGACAGTTCTTTTCCACCCTAGGTCACAGGTCACTGGCAAGCCCAAGCACAGCACCATGGAGCCAATTAATAGGGGCGGGGGCCGGGGACAGGGTCATTTGCACAAATCATGATCACCTGTGGGTTCCCCTTGGCCAGAGCTGTGGGCAGCCCAGAGTCACTGAGGAGGAGCTTTGTGCCGCGGGCTCAGGCGTACCCTGGAGAGAAGGTCATCCCAGCTGCTGCCGTCCTCGCATCGCTCCCATGCAAACCCCCAGAGGTTGAAAGTCTCCTCATTTCCGCTCCTGCTGTTCACCAGACCATGGGGATGCTGACCCGGGTTGTTCCGTTAGAGATTAGCCTTGCAAGATGCAGAAACTGAGGCCCAGAGAGGCTGTCTTGTTAAAATTTCTAGATTTTGCAGGCAGCTGCAATTTGAAATAGTCCATATGATTTTTTTTTAAAGATTGGCACCTGAGCTAACATCTGTTGCCAATCTTTTTTTTCCTTCTTCTTCTCCCCAAAGCCTCCCAGTATATAGTTGTATATCCTCGTTGTAGGTCCTTCTGGTTCTGCCATTGGGGACACTGCCTCGGCACGGCTTGATGAGCAGTGCCATGTCCACGCCCAGGATCCAAACTGACGGAGCTCCGGGCCACCAAAGTGGAGCGCACAAACTTAACCACTCAGCCGTGGGGCCGGTCCCATTCCATATGATTTTAACAAAAGCAGCAAAAAGAGAGGTTCAAGAGTAAATGGGATAGCCAGAAGTTGGAAACAACCCAAGTGTCCCTGGACAGATGAATGGATAAACAAAATGCAGTCCATACACATGATAAAATATTATTCAGTCTTAAAAAGGAAAGGAACATGCTGACACATTCTAAACATGGATGAACCTTGAAGACATTATGCTAAGTGAAAGAAGCCAGACACTAAAGGACAAATCCTGCATGATTCCACTTATGTGAGGCACCTAGAGGAGCTACATTCACAGAGACAGAAGGTCGAGTGGAAGTTACCAGGGGGAGGGAGGGGGAGATGGGGATTGTTTAACGGGGACAGAGTTTCAGTTTGGGAAGCTGAGAGAGTTCTAGAGATGGGTGGGGGGATGGCTGCACAACAAAGTGAATGTATCTAATGCCACTGAACTGTACAGTTAATGCTTAAAATGGTAAATTGTATGTTGTGTGTATTTTACCACAAATTTTTAAAAAACCTATGGGCCAAAATAAAAGAGAGGGGGAGAAGAAGGAGTGGCTAGGCTGGTATAGACAAATCTCTATCTTAAAAGGTTTGGCAGGAGGTGACTTGGGGTCCTTCCTCCTGGAAGGTTTCCCTCCCTCCCTGTCAGCACCTGCTCTCTCTTGCCCCTCCCCTCAGCAGTCCCTGTGACTCCGATGGCTCCAGTCTTTCTTGCTTTCTGCAGCCGGGGTGCAAGAGCTCCAGAGAGCTGCAACGGTACTGTGTGGTCTGCCTGGGTCTTGTGGCTTGTTTGTGTCTTGACTCTGTAACCTAGACATGTGGACAAGGCTGCATGTGGAGAAGGCAGGGGTCCTGGGAAGATGCTGGCTCTGGCAAGCCCAGCGCAGCCACCTGCCCAAAGTCAGGATGATGGCTTTGTTGTCATCCCCTGGGGGGCCGCAGATGCCTCCTCTACCACTGGACCAGGCACCAATAAACCCACAAAGGAAGCGGAGGACGGTTAGCCCAGGAGTCAGAGA